GAGAAATTGGGGAAAGTTACTCTGCCTAGTTGTTCTGCTCCTCAGGCCACCCCTCTAGTAAGTTCCCCACCCACTTCTGGTCCTGTCTCCTGGGCTGCCTGTTTTCTCCCATGCCCCCATTGGCACCACCTTCATTCGCCAGACAAGGAGAAATTTCTAAGGATCCCTGTCTCACCATTCCTTTTCTGGTGGCAATCCCTAAGATTGACACAGCTGGAAGAAGTCCCTCTGGTTTCCCTGCTAGAGGCCTATGACCTCTCTTGTAGGAACAGAGGCCTCTATTCCCTCCTGCCAGCATTCAGGAGGTGAAAAAGGTCTTCCCTTCAATGAGGTGGTGAGGACTACTGTGGGAGATAGGGGAGGGGCTTGGGAAAGAGGTGTGGCCAAGACCAGAGGGCTTCTGTCAGCTAAAGCAAGTGGCTTCCCTTCATTTTGCTGTTCCTCCACAAATTGTGTGGTTGGCATTGGCATGCACCGTATTCCTTTTGTGGGTACACTGGCCCTCTGCTTCTCCATCTGTCAGTTCTCTCAGAATGCACACATTGTTCTGCCTGGAAGCCCACCATATCCCACCCTCACTTTTCTTCGTTAATCTAAGCTTCCTTGAGGTCTCAATTCAGGTTGCCGCCTCAAGGAAACCCTCTGTGACCTTCGAGTCTAGGTTAGGCTCCTTGTTTCCTGTCCTCATAGTGATGGTGTTTGGGGCCTTCATAGCTCTTAGCTCAGTTTGCCCTTATTTGAATCCCTCAGGGCTTTTTCTCGGTGCCCTGAGGTCAGGGACTGATGGTCTGTTTGGGCTGCTGCATCCTCTGGTAGAGGGTTTGGTTGTGGAAGATTCTAATCTTGGTGACTAGCCTCATAGGCTAAGTAGTTAAGGGCAGGTAGTTAAAGGGTGTTCCAGGCAGAGGGATCATCATGGGGAAGAGGTGTTAGAGTGGTTTGCATGCAGAGGTTTGGGAGATGGTTTCAAATGGAAAGGTAGGGGAGAGTGAAACCCAAGTTGGTTGGGGAGCCCCTATTAGGAAGGAGTTGATTAGAAAGGAATTTTGTCCTGAAGCCTCTAATTGTCTCTTTAGGATTGTCTAATCCCTCTCCTGCTTAGACTTGATTTTGCTGACAATCATTTGTTGTCAGAATGGAGGGTAGGTTGGAAGAGTAAGACTAGAAACAAGAATCTAGAAGCTGGACAGGAGGGTCTGTAAGGAGGGTCATGAGAGTCCTATAAAAGGAGGCACTGAGGACTTTCCATTGGCCATATGAGTGATCAAGTCAACATCTCTAATCCATCTCTCTCCTCCCTATCCCACCTTCTTCACTCCAGTATCTAGAATTGGGCTCTGATTAAAGAAACTGTTTCATGATTGAGGCCTAAAGAATTAAGCTCAAAAAGGTTGGAAGGCAACATGGGAAGTTCTTTTCTTATTGTAGGTTCTATTCCATTCCTGGTGAGAGGTAGGGATGTGGTAAATCACTGCCAGGAACAGATGTTACAAAAAATCACCTATCATTTCTTTATGTGTCTTGATAAATATTTAGTGTCCACTTTAGGCAGAAATCTGAGGTCTAATAGTCCCCTAGAAAGCATCTAAGGCATTCTATTGGGTTTTCCCCAGGAGATGGGACTGTGGGATTCCCCAGGCCCTAGGTGCTTCAGCAGATATGCAGTCAGAGGTTGTGGAAGTGGGCATGATCCAGGCAGGTCTGGGCTGTAGTCCAGGCAGAATTATAAACATGCTAGGAGAAGGCAAGCCTCTGGCTTGTTAAAGGATTTAAAACACCCTTAGGTGGTAGGGAGAAACAAACAGAAGGTGACCCAAGGTGTCTTTTTTCAGCTTTTTACCTGGAAGAGAATTTGGTAAGTAGGGTTGGGAGAATATGTTGAAATGGAACTTTGAGGCTGGCTGGCTGAAGAGAAGAGAGTCCTTCATGCTTATACTTGGGTTAAAGCGCCAGAGCTTGCTGAGAAATTCCATCCTTTGCTGGTGCGGGGAGAGAGAGAAATCTATGTGCTTAGGGAATGGCAGACAAAAAGGGGGTGTGACCTCCAGGGATCCTCTTGCAGGTGGCCTTGGTCTTTCATTTTTGTGGAACTCTGCTTTGGTACCAAGTGGAATTGTCAATCAAGTCTCTGATGAACTCTGCATCTGAGTCTTTTAGGATGGGGTAAAATATTAGGAAGGGCTAAGCTATGGAAGAATAAGAATAAGCCCCTCCCTGTTGTTTTAAGGCTGTTTTTAACTCAAATCTACTTAAGGCCATTTTCCTCCTTTTGGAGGCATACAGGTGGGGAGAAGAGTAGTAACTTAGAGGGCCATTTGCTTCCTTCTTTGCTGGTCTACTGTCACATCTTCAACTTCTAACGTGCCAAGATAAGCTATTTCCCCCTGCCCAGAGTACTTATACTGCTCTAAGGACTCTGGTTTGTAGGCAAAGACTATGATTAAAAGTTAAATTTGTCACCACTTCTAGCTCTCACAGTCTCTTCCTTTTCAGCCCTGTTATTCCTAAAACCTCTAACTTCCTTTTTTTCTCATTATCACTGCCAGTACACTACTTTTCCTTCTAGGACTCCTTGTTCTCTTTACCACCCTCTGTCAGGATCTGGGTGTGAGAGGAGAAAGGGGAAGAACCCACTTACCTCCTTTAATGCTAGGTTTTGCCCCACATCCCATTGTCAAAATGTCAGGCACCAAATAAAACCTTATTTATTCTTATATTCCTCCTATTTTGAGGCCCCAGTCCTGGCTTTTTTTTTGGGAAGAGGGTAACGCAGTTTGTATTTTACCTACTTCCTATTAGAGTTCTCCCCTGTCACATTTCTCACATGTGACCCACATGAATCACAAGTGGAACTGTTCAAGACCGTTTTAGTTAGGGGCGCCTGGGTGGCTCAGTGGGTTAAGTGTCTGCTTTTGGCTCAGGTAATGATCCCAGGGGCCTGGGATCGAGCCCCTCATCAAGCTATCTGCTCAGCTGGAAGCCTGTTTCTCCCTCCCTCTCTCCCGGTCTCTCTGCCTGCTTCTGATCTCTCTCTGTCAGAGATCTTACTTGTCAGAGATTAAATAAAATCTTAAAAAAAAAAAAAAAAAAAGACTGTTTTAGTCAGATTTTTAGAAAATACAAGAAGGCCTTCTTTTAAATATTTTCTTCCATGCTCCAAAATACCTTTGTGCCTACATCTCTTGATTGGGAAAAGAGTTGTCTCACTTCTTTTTCATCATCCCTTTGGACTTGCTTCTACTCCTGAGAGTCCTAGAAAGGATCAGAATTCAACCTGGCTTCTTTCTGTGGAACTATACAATTCATTGTGATTTGATAGCCGCTAGCCATGTATGGCTATTTCAAATTAATTAAAATTAAATAGAATTAAAAATTTAATTCCTGAGTTGGACTAGACACATTTCAAGAGCTCAAGCTCAAGGTAGCTATCAATACCTACTATGTCAAACAGCACAGACTCAGAACAATTCCACTGTTGCAAAGTCCTTTTAGACTTCGTACAGTAGGCGGTCTTGTGTCCCCCTTTTTGTTATCCTGTTTTATCAGTTGATAAATATTTGTAATAACTTCACTGTTACAGGATAGCTTTCTGGGGTGGGGGGTCAGGGATTGGGGGTGGGGAATAGCATAGAATCTCTAGGTCCTATAAAGATTTCTGGAGGCATGGCGTAGGGGCCAGAGGTTGATGGCCAGTGGCAGAAGAGACTAGGTTTTAAGGAAGTGCTTTAGGAGTTGATGTTATATTGTATTAATCCAGGGCCATACACAGCCAACAGGAGCAGACAGGTTCTGGTTTTATAAGTTCTGCATAATACTTAAAAACCAAAGCAAAAATGGGTCTCCTGGGTGGCTCAGTGGGTTAAGCCTTTGCCTTCTGCTCAGGTCATGATCTCAGGGTCCTGGGATCGGGCCCCACATCGGGCTCTCTGCTCAGTGGGGAGCCTGCTTTCCCCTTTCTTTCTCTACCTGCCTTTGCCTTCTGCTCAGGTCATGATCTCAGGGTCCTGGGATCGGGCCCCACATCGGGCTCTCTGCTCAGTGGGGAGCCTGCTTTCCCCTTTCTTTCTCTACCTGCCTCTGCCTACTTGTGATCTCTGTCAAATAAATTAAAAAAAAAAAAAAAAAAACCCAAAACCAACAATCTGTCCTATGGCCCTGCTGAAACTGATGTTTGCTGAAGTGATTGCCTTATTAATCATTTCTAGATCTTCATTTCATATACTGCTTTATCTGTCATAGCCCTTGTTCTCCCAAATGGCAGTGACAGAGGCAGCTCTGGTTTAAAAAAAGGTTTGCTGACTCTGCCATCTGCTTGCCAAGAGCTGGAAGAAGTAGGAATCATATTAGTTAATCTGCTAAGACTATGTTTAATAATGTTCTAACTAGGTGGAGCTATTCTTCCACTGAACACTTAAACACCTAGCTCAGTCACAGGCTATAGGGCATAAGTAAAGCTGGTAATGGCACATCTGTGATTTGACCACTTTCCCTGAGTAGAGACCATTAGTTCTCAACTAATGATTCTGCTTCTCTCTCCCCTCTCCGTAAGACATTTGGAAATGTTGGGAGACATTTGTGGTTTTCACAACTGGTGGAGGGGTGCTACTTACATCTGATGGATAGAGTCCAGAGATGCTGCCAGGCATCCTACAGTGCACAGGACAGCCTCTCTCCCCCCAGAATAATTATCTTATCAAAATGTCAATAGTGCTGAAATTGAGAAACACTGGTCTAGATTATAGTGTGGATCAGTTCTTAAAGTCATGACTATTCATGAGGTCCAGACTCAGTGGGTAATAATTAAGGCTGGCAAGTGTCTATTAATTTGGGAAGGAAAAAAATAAGTAGTCAGTGGAACTGTGGTCTCCATAAAACTGAAGGGCAGGTATAACTGGAGGGTGTTTGACTACACTAGAAGGCTAAGAGCTAAGGTCATAGTGCAACTGGAGATGAGGACTTCAGATGTGTAGCAAGTCTGTATAAAGATGAGGTCCCAGGTACAGTCACAGGAGTAGCGAGGAGCAAGTTTAAACAGTCTGACTTGTGATACAGCAGTCAACAGCTGAACCTAGTAGGGAAAACATTCAATAAACAAATGAGTATCTGGTGAATATGGATATACTAGTTTTTCTCAACGTTTTTGTAACCCATAGCTCTACTTTTCATATACCTAAAAATCTCATACTCCCCCTCCTTCAGTGTTATTTAAAATTTCACAATTAAGTATCGTGACTAAAAATCAAAGCAACGGTAATTTTGGAAGCCAAAATTTATTCAGATGATGTGATAACCATGTCACTGTTAAGCCTTAACTTTTCTTTCCTGGGTGGTGTAGAAGATGTAACAAAACACAGGCTGCTTTAATAATATTCTGGTACTGTTTTCTCTCCAGAGCTAGATATACCCCCTCCCCCTCAGAAAGCTTTTAAGATGTAAAGAGAAAATGGAATAAATTCTTTTAATCTGTTTAGACATTTTACATCTCAGTTTCTCTAGAGTATTTATCTGGAAGTTTCTAGTCAAAACAATCAATCTTTGATTTCCACATACTCCTCCTGAAGTGCTGTCAGTGAGGACCAAGTATCAGTGAAAACATTTTTTCCAAAAGTTACCACAGGTAGGTTTTAAGAAAAACGTCAAGAACAATCACCCAAAATAGTTCTGGACATTTCATGCTTTTTTCTTGAAATAACATGAATCTAGTCCTTCAAATGGCCAAGCAAATTAGACATTTTTAGTACGAGTTTGCTATGTGTAGCTGGGTTTTTGGTAAGTTTTGCTTCAGGTATTTCAAAACAAGCGGGGATTGTTGGTGCTCGCCTTCTGACATTTCACTGTCAATGTATTTTAGGCTGCAGTGCATTAAATTCTGCTGAAAGTTTTAATTTTTGAAATTTTAAAAGTACAGATTCTCTTTAGGTGGTATTCCAAAATCAGACATGTTGTTTTGCATTGGTATTCCAAAATCATTCTGTCCACAAATTCAGCTGAATACAGTTCTTTGACAACCAAGGAACCTCAGTATGTAACAGAAAATACTCTTCAACAGGATTCTCAACAGATCTTCAAAAATCAAGGCAAACTGGGATCAAATCTACTGTTTTTCACAAAGGTTACACTGACAGCAAGGTGAAGATTTCCAGTAGATTATGGGCCAGTTGATGGAAGTTGATGCTTGGTGGTGATTGTTATAGTACATCTTAAACACAGTTTTCTTCAGTTTTGCCAAAAACCCAGATCTAAGACACTACTGTAATGTATACCCTTATAATATTAAAACTTTCTTCCAACTCAGTTCATTTTGTACAGCTTCAAAAATACTGTCTTTAGTGGTCAAGTATTAGGCTTGTGAAACCAGCATACTCACAGTTTTTAAAGCCTATTTTAAACATAAGCAAAGCACATTTTTATCAGATTCTTCTCAACTAAGCAAAGAAGGATGAGCTGAAGTTTTTAAAACTTGAAGTTTGATATACTCAGTCATCAATCCAGAGTTAAGACTGCAGGAAGTAGATGAAGAAAGTCTGGAATTCCTCAATTTCCTCTTAAAGTTGCGGCAGCACTTGGAATGCAAGGCTTCAAAAGTTTCTCCATTTTTTTCTCCTTTGCAATTAAAAGGGCTATTTAATGTTGTGCTTTCATAGCCTTTGAAGATTGCTGTTAATATTCCAATACTGTCCAATCTTAAAGCTGCAGAGAATTGTGCTTTGCAGGATACTCCAATATTTTTATAGCGTAAATTTAACACTGTTTGGCATGGTGTCACTGGCCAACATTTTCAGGTAACTCAATTGAAGAAGTTGACCCTATCTTCTGCGTCATAATGTGAATATATACTTCATAAAAGCCTCAAAAAAAATTTTGGCTGCCATCTTTAGCTACCTCAAAGGAGAAAACAGAAAAAGGAGTACTGATGATGGAAGCATCTGGTCCCTCTTGGAGAACGATGAGTGATTTTATTGGCGGCAGCTGGGTGGCAGAGCAATATAGGCATCCAGTTATGCCTGAACCCCAAAAAGTGAAATCTTTGTTCATTTCCTTTTTATACACCCATCTGCCGCCTAAAACCTGACACCATTTAATGGTGCCCTTGGTCAAATCTAAATGATCTTACTTTTCATAATCCTCTGATTCTAGCTTGAAGAGTCAAGATGAACTCTAACTTATGGGATGGACAAAATGGAAGATGTAAATAAGTAAGCTTTCAGAGCTAAAAAGCCTCTTTTTATACAAAATTAAACTTTAAAAAAACATTGACCTCAAAACAATATAACTGTCTTGGATATGTTATAAAAATAGCAGTATAAATAGCACCATACCCACAGTGAACATATGTAGTTACCCAACCTGTCCAACTTCATTAATTATAGGACTTACTCTGAACGCTTCTTGTTCTGTCTTTGTACTCCCACCAGCAAAGGAGTTCTTTCCAACTTTATTTCTTAAGAAATATTTTTTCTTTTTAACATTACAACGCTAATTTTATAAACTATACAATTTTATAAACTATAACTCTCCCCATATCTGCAGCGCTAATAAAATTTGTGGAGGGAGAGAATGCCTTTCTCTCCTATTTCTAAAAATCACTGACTAGTCCTTGAGTCTATGAGTGACAACACCCTACTCAGTTCCTAAAACTAAAAAGCTTGCTTACCTCCAAAGTAGATAAAAAATGTGTTGAATTGGTAGCTGTCAAGAATACACTCTAACCAGAACTGTGAGAAGGGTAATGCATAATATTAAATAAACATATACAAAAATAGTTTATTATGTTAACTATTGTTATTAGAGTTTATTCAGTAAAATTCTAAGTTATGCTCCTGTAATGTGTATGTTGACCAATGAAAGGCAGTAACAAAACAATGTCATCAATTACTAAGTTTATACATACATAAAAAATTTTTACCTCTTCGGTATAATTCTATGTGTGGCAATACCACCTACCTAAATTGTGGTATGTGTTTGAAAATAAAAGTTAAATTTCCTTTTAAATACTCTATATATTTTGAAAGGGATTATCTCCAATTTGTTTTACTTGGTTTTGGTGTTTATATTTACTGGTATGCTTTATAAGTAACCCCTCAAGTTTCAAATGAGTATTCTCTGGCTTCCCAGGTTGAAAAGACCATCTCTCCTGTTTAAATTGGCTTTCAGTTAAAATTTTGGTTTCAGAATCCTTACAGAAAATTCTAACAGAGGACTGAAAAGTTACCTCCTTACATAAGTGGCAGTGTGCTAAAACCCAGAAGTATAGGACATAGTTTCTCCTGGCAGCAACTTCTGTTACCCTGGGAAAAGCATGGTGCTAGGATTTGTCCGTAAAGTCAAGTTCATATGATGAAATTAGCAGTGATTTGTAGTTAAGATTTGTGTCTTATGTGTCCATTTACCAGTAACTATAAGTTGAAGGGTAATGATAATAGCAAATATATGATGTCTTAGGACAGTGTTCTGGTTATGTTTTAACTGCAATCCAGAATAAGCAATACATTTTACTCTCAAGACTAAGTATATACACGTGTACATAGAAAAGTTTCAAAAGACAGTGTTTTCTTTAGTGTGTTCCATGCACTCTGATATTTTCTGTTTAATATTAAAGTAATGCTGGTCATGACCCATTTATTTTAAGACCCACTAATTGGTCAATCCCCATATTTTGGAAACCGCTACTCTAGGAGAACATGAGATATTTTATAAACTATAAAGCACACCAAGATGTGAGCAGCTGCTAATATTCAGGACAAAACTTTCATGGGCCTGAGACATCCTCCTTCCTTGGGTACTGCTACGAGTCCCATTCACCTAGGCTTTTGGTAAGAAAGACAATACTCCAGCTGTCATTGAGACAACCCTGTAATACTCCGATCAGGAAAGCAATGTATTAATCAAATCAGAACCCAAAGAAAAGACAACAAGCTAGAGGAAAATCAAAAAAAGCACACATTTGTTCAGTGCTTTATGGTTTATAAAATACTTTCACATACATGATCTCTTAATCTTAAGCCTAGGGAAAAATAATCTAAGAGGTAGAGACCTGCCCAAGATTAGACAGTAAGTGGCAGAGCCAGGTCATCTGATCCTCAATCCCTCACTCCTTTTACTGTGATAAAATACCAGGAAAGGAGAGTGATCAGGGCATGAAGCTTCTTCTGATCCATTAAAAAGATGTAAAAACATTTTTATATCCTCTGCCTCCCACTGTAGGGAAACTTTTCCCTATATCCATTGTTACAGAGGATGAGTAAGCAACCTCAGACTTTGGGAAGGGGTGTGGCCAGTTCCACTTAATTAGACCAGGCATTTCAGTCTACCAATACCAGTTATGTTTTTTCTGTATGTGTGTTTCTTCTCCAGTCATCTGTTTTGACATTGTGCTCTGAGGTCCCAAATGTCTATTATCTACAAGCTTTCTGTTCCTGTGTGTTAAGGGTCCTGGAGTCTTAGGTACAGACTCAAGACTCAACAGAGGGAAATCAAGAACTAGGGATATGTCACCTATACTGAGATTGAAAGGGAATAACAGTAGTATGTTTCTGGTGACTGTTGTGTCTTTGCTCAGCTTCCCCAGGGGAAGCCAATCAGCCTCAACCAATTTGCCTACCTATGCCCATCTTCACTACTGTGCCCTCATCTCTCACAGAAAAGAGGTTCAACTAGCAAGTACCCATCTCTCCCAGTTCCCCTTGTTTTCTCTCCACTCCCTTCAAGCCCTCACCCCCTTTCCCTCCTTGTGCCTCTCACCTTATACTGCACCACCTCCTCCAGCGGCACCACGCTGTGCTGTTTGTGGCTCCTGGATTCTCGGCACACCACACAGATGGCCTCTTTGTCCACCTCGCAGAAGAGCTTCAGGGCTTCCTGGTGTTTGGAGCAGATACCCTGATCATTCCCCCAGCTTCCTCGATAAGGAGTGGGGCACATCTGGCGAATTATCTGGACCATGTTGGCTAGCTGCAGGTTGGGACGAAAGTTGCGACGGGTAAAGCTCTTTCGGCACTGGGGGCAGGTGAACTGACGTAGAGGGGCCGGAGGATGCAGGTGGGTGTCAGGATGCAGCTCTTGGTCGTCCTCGTCGTATTCTTCCAGTATCTCCTCTTCTGGGTAGACGTCAATTCTCAGGTCATGCCTCAAGCCTCCCAGGTAATAGTCCCGGTCCTCCTCCTCCTCTTCTTCCTGGTCCCACACATAGTCCATGTTGTCCCTGACGCCGCCGTCACCAACCCAGAGTTCATAACCTTCTTGGTCCTGGAACACCTCCTCATCGGCATTGCCCTGGTACAAAACCTCTCGAATGGAGGTGTCCCATCCACCGATGGCCCCCTCCACGTCGTCGTCCTCGTCCTCCTCCCATTCATCTATCTCCACTTCTCTGTTTTCCTCATCATCCTTGCCCCACAGCTGGGTCACACACCCGCGGCAGAAGTTGTGCCCGCAGCCTATGGATACGGGATCCTTGAAGTAATCCAGGCAGATGGCACACACCGCTTCCTCCTGAAGGGTCTGCACGGGGTTAGGAGTAGTGGCATAGCCAGCCATTTTAGTGTGCAGCCTGTGGGTGTGGATGCCTCGGCTCGGAGCTGGGGAACTGCTTGCGGGCCTGCCCCCAAGCTACGCTTGTGACCCCAGGCTGTTCTCAACTCTGCTTTTCCTCCTCAGGCCTGAAAAGATGCCTGGCTCCCCTCCCGCAGGGTTTTCCCAGCTCAAGGAACGAAAGCCCTCCGTCCAGGATGCAGCCTCCACTTCCCTTTGAGGCTCAGAATGTACAACCAGATCCTGACACGTTTCTCGCTTCCCTCCGGGTTTGCCCGACCCAGCGGCGTCCTCAGGTGTCGACACTCCTCACCCAGCCCGAGGCGACAGAGAATGACGTAGGCGCTCTAACCCCCACTCGGGAAGGGTAGACTGAGCCGACGGAGGACCACATTCTCTATGATGCTGCAGGGGACGCCACAGCTGGGAGCGTGGCCGGCCATGTAGCCGGCCCGAAGAAAAAAAGACTGGTGAGAAGAGGCAGAGGTGGAAAGAGAATCTATTTACTCCCCCGAGTCGCGTTAGCGCCGCTTCAATTAGTAGGATAGAAAAGGCCCAGCAGTCTCTCAGCCGAACCAATACCCAGGAACCGACCGGAAGGAGGCGGAGTGCGGCGGCCAAGCTCGCATTCTCGTGCACTTCCGGCCCTTCTAGCCAGAGATCTTGGTGGTAGTAAGAACGCCCTCCTCTCGGAGGTCGCGCTCGGGGGCGTGGCCTGCGGAATGGCGGCGGGGTGGGGCTTGCTGCGGCGTGCAGTTACTGTGAGGTTAGGGGGACTCGCGTGGGGGCTCGCGTGCCTCCCTTTTCTCAAAACTAGTTAACCCTTTTATTGCTGCCTGAGGAGCCTCGGCCTCCTAGCCGGTTTTCTCCCGCTACTTTTACTCTGTGACCACTCAGTTACCTCAGACTCCGCATGCCCTGCACTGACTGACTCTGTAGACGGTTTCGCCTTCATTGATAATGCTGCTCTGCACCGTCCACTCGCCATCTACCTACGCTTGCGTGAATCCGTTCATCCATCCACTTGGCTGCCCATTTATTTCATTTCATTTTTTAAAAGGATTCTATTTATTTGTTTGACAGAGAGATCACAAGAAGGCAGAGAGGCAGGCAGAGGGAGAGGGGTAAGCAGGCTCCCTGCTGAGCAGAGCCCGATGAGGGGATCGATCCGAGGACCCTGAGATCAAGACCCGAGACGAGGCTTAACCCACTGAGCCACCCAGGCGCCCCTGCCCATTCATTTTAATCCCGTTCATCATACACATGCATAACCCATCCATTTACCATATACTTTATAGGAACAAAAACGTGAGCAGGGCATGATCAATCCCTTCAAGGAGTTCAGGTATAAGCATGTGGTTATCTGTAACCCAAGGTTTCACAAGGTCTGTTTTTACTTGACCCTCACTAAGAAATGCACTGCACACGTTAATCCAATACAGACTTGCACATGTATAACAGAAACAGAATTTCTGGAAATTGTCCTTTCCCTTACGCATTCAATGCACCCTGATATGTTCTATTTTGCTTAAGTAAAATGTTCAAGATCCACTGGTATGATTGGACCCCTCATTAATATGTCACTGTTTGGTTTGAGGAACACCACCTGCACTACTGGAATCCCTCGTCTCCCTCTGGGCCCAGACTTGAACAGTAGGTTCTAGAGAGGAAGGATGGTAAGGGCTGTTAACATTGTACATGCAGCTCCTCTATCATAGTGCCAAACATACAGCAAGTACTTCTTACATAGCTGCTGGGTAAATAATGAACCAACCCAACAAACTGCAACCATCAAGCCCTGCTGATTTTTTTCTCCTCAAACCTAGGCAGCCTTCTCTGTCTCTGTTCCTGCCATCCTAGACCTGACCCCATCAGCTTCCAGCTGGATGGACGGAGTTTCTTAACATTTCAGTCCATCCTGCAGCCAGCAGAACCATCTGCCTGAAATGGAAGTCTGACACACTCATCCCAGGCTGTTGCCTCGGTCTTTGGGCATATTCTCCCACCTAGAAGGCTTTTGTCTCACTGCTCCCCCCAGATATAGCTCCCTAATTATCCTTCAGGTCTCTGTCCAGGCACAATGTGAAGATTCTTCCATGAGGCTGGTCCCAGGCTGTGTTAGCACCCCACCTGTCACTTTCTGTGTGACCTTGGGTTTTCTTAACAACTGTGCTGCCATATCCCCATATGGAAAGTAAAGAGGGTTGTTGTGAAGTTGGTATTCCAATTATTATTGACATCTGTAATTAGATCAGCGCCCACTGGTGTTATCTTTGTATCCCCATTACCTACAGTTATATTCCTTTCCTGTAGTAGATGAGCCATAGAAGAAACTCACCCCATTTCCTGTCCTCTTCCTCTTTGAATAGGATCAAGAGATTGGGACCCTATGGTGAAAAGTAGCCCACCATCTCTCATTTAGTGGTTCTCAGAGCTGTATGTTTGGAGAGGGAGTTGAGGCCTGTCCTGCTTGTGGGTTGAGGCCTACAGTGGGGCATCTATTGGGAGTGTTTGTTATGAAACTAAAAAATTCCCAATATGCAGTCTGGGAGACTTCCCAGAGGTCTTGGCTGAGCCTGAGGAGCCAGGAGGGAGAATCTTGAGCAACAAGAACTGGAACCGTGTTTCAGGGCTGGAATACTTACCCATCTCTGAATGCAGGTTTTACCTTACACATGGAATGGCAGAAACAGCTGAGGAGAACAAGGGAAGAGGGGGCTGCTCAAAAGCAAATTCTTGCCTGCCCTGGAGGGGGGTGGGGTGCACTGAACCCAGGTAGGAAGGAGGGCTGAAGGAAAAGAGCAAGGGATAACATGTACAGGGAAGATGGTGGGAGAAGGCTAGAGGGAGCATCTTGGAGGAACTGGTAAAACTTAAAAGGCATATAGCAGATACCCATTCTAAAGAATACCTAGGTGTATAAGAATCTTTAATACCGGGGGAGGGGGGTAGGGAGAGGGTGGTTGGGTTATGGACATTGGGGAAGGTATGTGTGTCAGTGCTGTGAAGTGTAAACCTGGTGATTCACAGACCTGTACCCCTGGGGCTAATAATACATTTTATGTTAATAAAAAAAAATTGTATATGCAGTTATCACCTGCCCCATCTTTTTTCTTTCTTTCTTTTTTTTTTAAAGATTTTATTTATTTATTTGATAGAGAGCACAAGCAGGCAGAGAGGCAGGCAGAGGCAGAGAGAGAAGCAGGCTCCCCACTGAGCAAGGAGCCCGATGCGGGGCTTGATCCCAGGACCCTGAGATCGTGACCCGAGCCGAAGGCAGCAGCTTAACCCAATGAGCCACCCAGGCGCCCCCCCCATCTTTAATACCTATTTCTTTTATCTTCTCTAAATTACCCTTCCTGAAGTTCAAATGCCAGCTGGAAGGGGCTTCCTTCATATTCCCTCAGATTGTTGTAAAGCTTATCTGATCTTTACCAGAAGAGAGGTGAGGCTTGGTTTTAAGCCCCTTTGCAACCCTGGCATCCCTGCAACAAGGCATGTTTCTATCTGCAGGACTGCTTGCTCTCTCCTGAACCCAACCTGGAGCTGTGGGTTATCAGAGCAGGTGACCTGGCACACCCATGGCATCAGGCCATTTTCTCAGGGCATTGGCAAAATGGTAGCAGTGGGGGTATTCAGGGGCTGGGGCTGCCCAGGACGTTCAGAAAATGTATCCATGGAAACTCACATTAGCTTCTTTGGTTTCCTAAGATTTTATTTTTAAGCAATCTCTATACTCAAGGTGGGGCTTGAATTCATAACCCCAAGATCAAGAGTTGCATGTTCTTCCCACCAAGCCACCCAGGCGCCACTCACATCAGCTTTATTAGGCTGGAGAAGCCCACTTAAGAGTTCCGCAGTAGAGGGGCGCCTGGGTGGCTCAGTGGGTTAAAGCCTCTGCCTTCGGCTCGGGTTATGATCCCAGGGTCCTGGGATCGAGCCCCGCATCGGGCTCTCTGCTCGGCGGGGAGCCTGCTTCCCCCTCTCTCTGCCTGACTCTCTGCCTACTTGTGATCTCTGTCTGTCAAATAAGTAAATCTTTAAAAAAAAAAAAGAGTTCCATGGTAGATAATTTTTTTTCACTTTTATTATATTCAGTTAGCCACTGTATATATTATATATATATTATATATATTATGATATATGTAACATATATATTATAATGTATATAATGTACATCATTAGTTTTTGCATGAATCACATCTTTTTTTATCCATTCATCTGTTGAAGGGCCTCTCAGCTCCTTCTGCAGTTTGGCTATTGTGGACATTGCTGCTATGAACACTGGAGTGCATGTGCCCCTTCTTCTCACTACACCTGTATCTTTGGGGTAAATACCTACTGCTGCAATTGCTGGGTCATAAGGTAACTCTCTTTTTAATGTCTTGAGGAACCTCCATCCTGTTTTCCAGAGTGGCTGTACCAGCTTGCATTCCCACCAACAGTGTAAGAGGGCTCCCCTTTCTCCACATCCTTGCCAACACTTATTTCCTGTCTTGTTAATTTTTGCCATTTTAACTGGTATAAGGTGATATCTCATTGTGGTTTTGATTTGTATCCTGCCACATTTTTGAAAGGATAGCCTCTGCAGTATCCCATAAGTTCTGGACTGATGTTTTCATTCTCATTAGTTTCCATGACTTGTTTAAGTTCTTCCTTAATTTCCTGGTTGACCAGTCATTCTTTAGTAGGATGTTCTTTAACTTCCACATATTTCAATTCCTTCCACATTTTTTCTTGAGTTCCAGTTTCAAGGCACTGTGGTCTGGTAACATGCAGGGAATAATCTCAATCTTTTGGTATTGGTTGACACCTGATTTGTGACCAATATGTTATCTATTCTGGAGGAAGTTCCATGTGCATTCAAGAATGAGTATTATGTTATTTTAGGGTGGAATGTTCTGTATGTATCTACAAAGTCCATCTAGTCCACTGTGCCATTCAAAGCTCTTGTTTCTTTGTTAATCTCCTGCTTAGATGACCTGTTCATTGCTGAGAGGTCTACTACTATTAATGTATTATCATCGGTATGATTCTTTATTTTGGTTAACAGTTGGCTGCTCTCATCTTGGGGCAGAGATACTTACAATTGTTGGATTTTTCTGTGGATAGACCCTTTAGGTATAATAATAGTGTTCCTTTACATCTCTTACTACAGTCTTTGGTTTAAAACTCCAATTTGTCTTGTATGAGAGTTGCTACCCAGCTTTCTTTTGAGGTCCATTTGCATGATAAATGGTTCTCCATCCCCTTACTTTCAATCTGGAGGTGTCTTTAGGTTCAGAACGAGTCTCTTGTAGGCAGCATATAGATGAGTCCCACCTTTTTATCAAATCTGAAACCCTGTGCCATTTCATTTTTCAGGCTGTTTATGTTGAGAGTAACTATTGAAAGATATGAATTTAGTACCATCATATGGCACTGAAGTCCCTGTTTCTGTAGGTTAGAGATACCTGTTACTTTCTGGTCTATATTACTCTCGGGGTCTTTTTTCTTTTATAGAGAGCATCCCCCTGCTCCGGCTGCCTTGGTGGTCACATATCCTTTCACTTTCTGCCTGTCCTGGAAGCTCTTTG